TTGATCCGGATCTTGATGACACTTTAATTTATATTCAAACTTCTTCTTGAATGTGTGTGCACTAATTTACATACGAGTGTCGACACTTGACGCAATCTATACAAGCAATCAAAGTGGCCATCCAGATAAAATGTCTAAAGAATGTGAATCCAATTACTGTTTCACTGTTGAAAAGAGATTTATGGGCGGCTTTGCGTCACTCTTAATTATTTTTTAAATATTACCTTTTATTTATAAACGAATAGAACTTTGGATATTGAATTGTATGACTTTCACAAAACATCAATTCATATTTAAATATAAGTATAGAACTGGTTTTCATTTTTATTGTGAGAACTAAGTCATTATACACATAGTAGTAATTCTCACTTTCATATAAATTCACACCTGTCTACTCGTCTGTGACTCAGAGTTCAAGGCACCTGAGGCCGAACAATTAGCACGTGTAATGAACATTTATGAACTAATAATAGCACTCGGGCATCCAAGACATATGTAGGAAATGCCCAAGTGTGAAACTAAGCCATGCATTCAATTAAATGAGCTATAAATTGCGAATCTCAGGCGCGTGATACTCCGACAAAAAGCCAACGAAAATTGTTTTGGTCTCAAATTGCTTATTTGACTTTTCTTTCCGGCTGTTTTTTTTTTATGATCCAGTGAATTATATTTACCAGAGGCTTAGTGTCACTAAACGATTGTTTGCCAGGCCAAACAAGAACAAAGCCGAATAATTGCACGATTAAAATTTTCCTTGAGATGTTTGTTTTTCTTTGCAACTCAAGAATATAGATTATATAGACATATTTACGAAGATTACCATAACTTACATGCTTAAGAAATAATTTTATTTTTTAGCTGAAAGTACTATATGTCTGTACCAAGAACACAACACGACTTATCGCAAGGAGATCGGAGCCGTGTGGTTTGCCTCTAGAGATCCCTGTGTGGTGTACTCTTGTGCTGCTGGTGTGGCCAAGGATCCACTGGCTCATATTGTGGTGACCCAAGTGGATTGCAATGAGTTCTACTGTGAAGTGGTAAGTGGGATAAATAATCATATTCGTAGAGGATTGTTTTCTCATCAATGTTTTCGCATATAACAGGGTTCGGAACTGCGCAGTGTCGAGGGCAGTTGTTGTGGCGAGTGCGTAAGGACCCACTGTCAGCACAATCACACCCTGTATGCAGTGGGTGAGTCCTGGCACAACGACGCTGATTGCACTCTTCTCGAATGCGGACGTCTGGATAATGGACAAATCGTCATGAACACGTATAGAAGAAGCTGTCCGGAATTGACCGAAGATTGTCCAGCCTCAAGGTTAGAGGAGCGGAATTGCTGTCCCTACTGCAGACCACTCCAAACGGCAAGGATGGAGGAGCTCCAGGATCCCGATGAAGAAACCACTGATGACATTTGGACAGCCGAATGGTATCGCAAGCATCCCTGTAACCGGGACTGTCAAGTCGGTGCTGAACCCATGACCTGTCGCTATACTTTTGTGGTCGAGTGGTATCAGACCTTTTCGAAAGCCTGCTACGATTGCCCTCGAAACTTAACGGATTGCTCTCGACCTCACTGTGTCATGGGTGATGGTCTCGAACGAAGCATCACTGTGGTAAATCGCATGATGCCGGGACCAGCGATTGAAGTTTGCGAGGGCGATGAGATAGTGGTGGACGTGAAGAATCATCTGCTGGGCGAGAGTACCTCTATACACTGGCATGGTCTGCACCAGAAGAAGACACCCTATATGGATGGTGTGCCCCACATCACCCAGTGCCCAATTACCCCGCATGCGACCTTCCGATACACCTTCCCCGCTGATCTCTCGGGCACACATTTCTGGCACTCGCACACTGGAATGCAGAGGGGCGATGGTGTCTTCGGTGCACTGATCATCCGGAAGCCCAAGACAGCCGAACCTCATGGAGGACTCTACGACTTTGACCTAAGCGAACACGTGATGGTTGTCCAGGATTGGATACACGATACGGGGGCCAGCATATTTTCCTATCATCATCATTCCAGGGGAGACAACAAACCGCACAACCTGCTTGTTAATGGAAGAGGACGTTACTACAACCGCATTTGGGCGGAGGCCAAGCAAACCCATCGCAGGTCGGGAGAGGAGAGGACCTCGCAACCACTGGATCCACTGCCCAAATCTCAGGTGGATTTCGTGCAAACTCTACCGCGACAGGCTCGTTTGGCCAAGACCAATACCACAAAACTCTTTCCTGTGAATTCCCGCCAAAAGAGGGGTAATCTCAACAAGATACCCTTGGAACTAGTACCCCACCAGGTGTATACGGTGAGAAGAGGTTTTCGCTACCGCTTCAGGATTATAAACGCCGAGTACCTTAACTGTCCGATCGTGGTTTCCATAGATGGTCATAATCTGACAGCAATTAACTCCGATGGCTTTGACATCGAGGCCATGGATGTGGGTTCCATCGTGACCTATTCCGGCGAGCGATTTGATTTTGTGCTAAATGCCAATCTTGAGGTGGGAAACTATTGGATTCGACTAAAAGGACTGATGGACTGCAGCGAAGTCTTCACCTCCGCATTTCAAGTGGCCATCCTGCGCTATGAAGGTGCTCCGGACGAGGAGCCCACCGCAGAATTAAGTTACGGCCACAAGGCAGAGGGCATTGAACTGAATGTGATGAACCGGGGTCCTGGATATCCGGACACCAAAACCGTGGCGGAGATGAGGGCCCTGCCCATTTACGATCATGTGTCTGGCATCGATCACGATACCCTTAAGCCGGAAGCGGACTACAAATTCTTCATCTACTACGACTTTTACACCAAAAACAATCCCGACTTCCACGACAAGGATCTCTATGCCATGGACATGGAGATGACACAGCAGAACCGACTTTATACCCCTCAACTGAATCACATTACGCTGAAGTTTCCCTCGCTGGCACTGCTTCCTTCAAGGAGTCAGCTGAAGGATTCTGATTTTTGTAACGAAACGAGTCTGGCGGATAAGGGCATCGATTGCCGCAAGGAGTTCTGCAAGTGCCATCACGTTCTCCAGGTGCCCTTGGGTGCAGTGGTCGAGCTGATCATCGTGGACGAGGGATTCCAGTACTACGCCAACCATCCCTTCCACTTGCACGGGAACGCCTTTAGAGTGATGGGATTGGAGCGATTGGGCGACAATGTCACAGTTGAAATGGTGAGTTACCAAAACTAACTAACTAACTAAACACTGGTAAAAGAAACGTAGTAGATCTTTTACGCTATAATTTCATCCTAAATGGCTAAGTTATTTTAAATATTGTTAAATATTTTTATTTAAATATTTTCGGAATAGATTTTAAAAGCTGAAAATGTATTTAAAATTTTAACCTTATTTAACTTAAAAATACTAATTTTAAAGCTAATTAAAAATCATATATTTTTCACGTTAAATCAATTATATTAACATATAATTTTGCAATATTATACAACCTGTTTTTGTCCTACTGATAAAGCCATCATTATATTTTATATATCATAAAAAAAAAATTGATTAGTAAAAATAATAACCTGATATTAACGTTAAATATGAAATCATAATATCAAATACAATGTATATTAATCTATATGATTTAATATTAAAAATTGAATTTTCTTTTAGATCAAACAACTCGACCAATTTAATTTACTCAAACGGAATCTTGACAATCCACCTGTTAAGGACACAGTCACCATTCCTGACGGAGGCTACACCATCATCAGATTCGAGGCCTCCAATCCCGGCTATTGGCTCTTCCACTGTCACATCGAGTTCCATGCGGAGATTGGCATGGCATTGGTCTTCAAAGTGGGTGACGATGATCAAATGGTCCCGGTGCCGGGGAACTTCCCCACCTGCGGCGATTATAATCCCGACTTAAAGTCTGATGGTGGCAGTGCAGAAGACTCGGAATCTAGCAAGCCAACAACAGTGAAACCACCAAATACTGGAGGCGGGGGATCACGATTGGCACCCACTTTGATTGCTCTGCTCAGTAGTTTTGTGCTGGCAAAACTCTATCAATAGGAAGAGGGCTTAGAAAAAGAGCAGCATTCCCAAACTTGCCAATCGAAATTCAGAGATTATTTATTGATGACGGAGGAGGAAATGATGAAATGAAATGATTTTGATTGATTAAAAAAAATAATTGTTCTCTAGCATTTGTATATATTCCATACCACGCATCGTTGTAGCCCAAACATCTGTGATTGTCTAAGAAAATGTTTAAATAAGTGTTTTAAAATTTAAATAAAAATATTTAAAAATGTTTTCATAAGAAATAATGGTGTTTTTAGTGCATTACGTTTTATATGAATGCTTATTGTTTTTTAAATAATATGTTTTATATTTAAATATTGCAAAGTATTACTTGCCACATATAATGATGAACCAGAATATACAAGGGAATACCATGTTTCCTAAAACAAGTATATATTTACTGAAGTTCAAGCCAAAGATGCAATACTTGCTATAAATAAAATATGTCTTAGATCACTTAGATTGGTTAAATATTGCAAATGAATCGTTGGCAGTTCAACGATGAATCAGAAAATGTTAATGATGCTTATCTGAAATGATGTACTGTATTTATAAAAGGGAATACCTTATATCCTAAATCAAATGTGATGCAACATTTCCTAATTATTGCAACATTGTCTTTATCAAACTCTATATTAGAATCAGTTATATTGATGTGTCGTCAGGTGGTGAAAGATCGGCTAAACCAGCCAACGCCCTCGACGTCGACGGCAGTCTTATCTGGTCCCCACCGGCAACAGCTGGCGAGAGACTTGTTGTCGTCTTTTCCAACTCAAAGTATCAACAAGTGCAGGGAGCTGATCTTCAACCCGCTGACCTCCCGGAAGATAGCCGAAATTATGGCGTTGTTATTGCATTGTGAGACAGCGATATCGGAGCAGATGCGCTGGACATCTGGGCTCGGTGCATCTGGGATATTATATAAGTGCAGTCACCTGCTGGAATCAAATCAGACGGAGACAGTCAGTCATCCCATCGCAAACCAGCCTTAGTCAGTCCAAATCCCAGCACCCAATCTCAAGCCAAAATGTTCGACTGGACCGGTAAGAATGTTGTCTACGTTGGCAGCTTCAGCGGAATTGGCTGGCAGATGATGATGCAGCTCATGGAAAAGGACATCAAGATGATGGGCATCATGCATCGCATGGAGAACGTCGAGATGATGAAGAAGCTGCAGGCCATCAATCCCGCCGTTAAGGTGGTTTTCATGCAAATGAACCTTATGGACAGGATGTCCATTGATCAGGCGATGAGGAAAATGGGCCAGATGATGGGCCACATCGATGTCATGATCCACGGCGAGGGTGTCCTGCTCGACAAGGATGTGGAGACGACGATGGGCATGAACCTGGTAAGGAAGCTTACACCTTTCATTGCATTACTTATTTTTCAACCCCTTTCTTGGAAATTTCTCTTTCAGACTGGCATGATCCATTCCACCATGATGGCCATGCCGTACATGGACAAGACCCAAATGGGCATGGGCGGCATGGTGGTCAACATGTCCTCCGTTTATGGCCTGGAGCCAGCACCCGCCTTTGCCGTCTATGCAGCCGCCATGCATGGCATCCTCGGCTTCACCCGCTCAATGGGTGACAAGACAATCTACCAGAAGACCGGCGTCATGTTCATGGCCATGTGCCCAGGACTGACCAACAGCGAGATGATGGCCAACCTGCGCGACAACGTCACCTGGCACCATTCCGAGTCCATGGTGGAGGCCATCGAGAGTGCCAAGCGCCAGATGCCCGCGGAGGCTGCCATCCAAATGATCCACGCGATGGAAATGATGAAGAACGGCAGCATGTGGATCGTCAATATGGGCCAGCTCAAGGAAGTCATGCCCACGATGCACTGGCAGATGTGAAAAGCGAGATGGTTAATAAAGAGTGCCAGGATTGAGAGATTATAATATCTAAATATAATTTTTTAGTAAATCCTTGGGTGGTTAACTGGTTATTTGATAGTTGCAACTAGATTATCAAACGATAAATCAAATAACAATACCTGTCTTATAAAACTCTATCTTACCTTACTCTAAACTTAAATCATACCTCACAAAAAATTTTGTTTTTACAGAAACTACTTAAGGAACACGATTAAGGCTTGCAATATTACTTTTATTTTACTTTAATTTAATCGCTGCACATTTTTATTAATCAGCTTTTGAATTTTTTTGAAACATAGAAACCAATTTCAAATACGTTTTTCTAATCAAAAAATTTCCTAAGCACTTACAGTCAAGAAAGTTAAACTAAAATCTCACAAAATTGTCGTAAAGATCAACAACTGCAAAAATTATTATTTACATAACTTTGGCTTAATACACATGTATCTAGCAATGTCGAATTATTCGAGTCCATTCCAAAGTAGCTGCATTCACTGTGGCGTTGCAGTGTCGGTATGCTCCTTCCTGGGTCGCCAGGTCAGAATTCCCGCGAGCAAGACAAGTGTCAGTCCAATTTTTGGTGATTTAGAAGAGAAAAGAACCAGTCCCCGTCAACGGGCACGTCAATTGGCCAAGAGCAAAACCGTTCCCCAAAAAAGGTCTTCGAAGAGAATCAAAAAACGTCCAAATCCAATAATGAAGGGCTTGGCACAGAAACTAAAGAGTGCTGGGAAACAACCACAGGGATCTTCAGTGCCTCTATTTAAGTCGGTTATTTTAAGAGAGATGATGAGATTGAGAAGACGACCAAATGCAAAGTTTATGAAGGCCGCAACGAGCGTTAACTATTGTGTTCCAAAACGCTGCCGTAGAATCCTTTTGGTCAGGCGTAAGTACAAGCTCAAGTTAATTAAAATATTTTATTGGAATATTTTCTTAAGCCAATCTTGAATAATTTTTAGACAAGAGCAGCCTGGAAGAGAATTCGAATCTGACATAATGGAGGTGAACGTGACGCCAAGGACCACTTCTTCTTCCTTCGAGACCGAAGTGCAACTTTGCGATTCGCATGAAATAGAGACATCGAAGGAATTTGAATCTGACATTATAGAGATGATTGAGGCGCCAAGAACAACTTCTTCCAAGCCCGAAATGGAAATTTATGATCAAAACCATGCGCATCAATTGGAAAACTTTGATTTTCCTGAAGTGGAGACAACTGAGACACCTCATCAAATTTTGGACAAAGTCGATTCATTTTCAAACGATGAGGCTGTAGAAACAGATTTATTATCAGTATAATGCAGATTATATGAAACCGTTTATAATTTTAGACTTGCTTTTGGAGACTCTAAAACAAAAAGTCATTGAAATCATTGACAAAATAAAAATACAAAATATATATAATAAGAAAACTACATATTTATTAGGTTGACTAATACAATACTTAGGCACTTGATTTGGTAAACTTCATTTATGAAGTGTTTATTATTATTATCTCAGGTTCAGATTCTGTAGCAAATATTTAAATGTTAAGGCATAAATGTAATATTTAATATCACATGGTAACCTGAGAGTAGATAAGGCACTCTTTAATCACTAATTATTGGAATGTTTAGGATGATATCAGTCTATTTGCATTGATTTCTCTCCATCCTCCGGGTGAGTTCAGCCTCGAAGTCAGCTTCATGGAAGCTGTAGTTTCGCTGAAAAAACTCGTCCAGTATCTTAGCTTGGCACTGGCCTACTTCCATCATAGATCGCCAGTCGGCGACATTCTGCGGCATCTCCTGATTCTCCAGATGGGCATACACCGGCTCCACGGGGCAGTTGTAATGGCGCGAGTTGGCCCTCACGTTCCTGGCGGTGTTGATCACATAGTTGCACACGGCACACTCAAACTTGTCAAACAGTGATCCTCCCGGAGACGAATCGCCTATGTGATATTGACGCGTGACCAGATTGTGGAGCAGTATCTTGTTGGAAATGGGGTTGCGCCAGTTGAGTTTGTGCTGGCGATAGGAGTCGTATTCCGTTTGGTTATCGGCCAACTCGACTAAATATTGTGCCAACGCCCGCGGGTGGGGAAAGTCGTTAACAAAAATCGCAGATTTCTTGTTCGGTTGCCAAGTCTAAAATGTTTATGTATCATAATTAACAGTGACACAATAAAGTGTAAAAAATCAACTTACTTTTATGGTGGGTGAACCAAAGTAAATTGGAATCACTCCCATTACCAATGGACGCCAGAACTTCTCTGTTATGTAATCGGGACAGGCCGCATTCTCAATGGCAATCATGAACTTGTAGTCGGATAGAAATCGCAGCAACTCCGGTGAATAGAGATTGTTCAGGTAATCGTTCTGCAGGCTGCAACAAAGCGAACGAGAATGTTGTTATATGATTGGTATTTAAGGCGTTTTTTTTTTCTTTGTAAACTAGTTTTAGTATTTCTATAGCTTTTTTTCGTGAAAGAAGTTTTTACACTTCTCGACTATCATTTGAGTCAATTGAAGTCGTATCAAAGTCTTGTTCTTCATCATGGTCGGTAAAAAAGGACTCTTGATTTTTGTGAGTTTCCTTTTGACAACAGCAGTTCTTAAATACATTTCTTTGACTATTAAACGTTTTTTCCATTTGAGGATTGCAATGAGGACATGGCAATGATCCGTACAATTGCACCCAGCACTCTACACAGCAGATCTTTGGAAGCTCTGTGGATCTAGGTGATGTCATGATTGTCTATGAATTTCTATCTAAGTTTATTGTGTGCTATGCTGAATTAAATGTGTTCACTTGAATGGGCCACAAAATGCGTAGCCTACTTGCCTTTGTGGAAGATCTTTGTTACGCAAACAGCTGCCATACGAATCGACATGGACATACTTCATCAGCTCCTTGACGTAATCCTCCCTTCCGGACATCGTGTCACAGTCGCTTTGCAGGAATGCCACCGAAACGGACGGACGGAATGCCCACTTCGACTTCCCGGCAAAAGAAACATGGTAATCCTTCGAGGTGAGTGCCTGGCCACTGGGCAAGTACTGCGTGGTCAGGGGCAAGTTGCTGAAGCGGCTGAACGTGGAGGTGAAGTGAAAGTGACGCAGGAACTCTTCATGGGCGACGAACGGAGTGTTCCTTGGTGACTCCTCGTGCAGCAGAGCCCACACATGATGCTCGGCTCGCGGCAGCGGAAAGTCGCCAGTCTTTATGTTGGAGCCGTAGAACAGAACGCCCTGCCAAATGTATAGCAATTGTAAATTATTTTTTAATTTTTTGATTACTTTACAATTACATAAGATGTAATTTTATCAATTGTGATAAGGGTCAAAGAAGGTTTATTCTTACTAAGAGTATTTTCAAACTTCTTAGCGTTGAAAAATATTGTATTCATTAATATTACTTTCTATCTGATAAAAGAAAACGCATTAAAATCGGTATTCAAGGCAGATTAGTAATATAAATTTAAATCTGATGTTTTTTTCCTCTATTTTATTTTTTTTCCTTAAAAAATTGTTATTATTTTTTATGTTAAATATTTAGAATTATTTGTACTTATACAGCTTTAGCAGCTGCAGCTGCGAAAACTATTTCTCGACGGTTTACGTTTTTAAAATTTAATTTCAGATTATTAAAGAAATCCCCATTTATCCCCAGGTTAAAAATTTAATGTTTTAAGCTTTGAATTAAGCGCAGTAAGCTCAGTTTTTAAAAGTATGTTTTAATTTTTTTTTTGAGAGTTTAATTCTAAATGTTTTTACTTTTCCCTTTTAAACAGACTTTAACTAAATCAATTTCTATAGAAAAACATAAACTAATATAGAAGACCAAACTACAATTAATAACTTAGGTCCCTTCTAGTGTAACTATCTAATAATTGAAATAACAAATGTAAATATAATTCTATAACCCATAACATTATTATTAATTTTTTTGTCTTGAAAGATATTAGTTTTATCTATGAAAGTATGATAGTAATTCAATCTTTAAATTTTATAGATTTAATGAAAGAAGGGTTTACAAAGCACCATCCTGATCAAGAGTTTGAGTACTACGTAAACAGCCTCCCAGATAATCTGAGCAACATTTGTACATATTATTATTATTCTTATCAAGAGCCCGGCCGGATGTGGGACATAGAAATTGAGACTTATGTATTTTGGCATTATTCACGAACCCGGGACATCGGAAGGCGGTGGCGCTGGTTGGTGATGCGGCATGTGTTGATGCCACAGTGGCGCACCTCGTCGTATTTCCAGGTTTCCATGTCCCTTGACCACCAGAGCACCTCGACGAGCTCGCTGGACTTGGCATTGCTGTCGTTTATGATTTTGTCCGAAAATTTAACCAGAACTACCAGACAAATGGCCACCAGCACAGTCAGTGCAATGCAGTAGCGCCATCCCAGCCGCATTGCTGTCCTGGGAGTCCTTACTTTCCGGATATTGTGTGTGCTTCCGGTGCCCACCGTTCGGATTCAAAAAGCCGGTGCGTCGCAATTTCGCTCAAACTGAATTTCGACTAACAGCAAACCAGCTGATTTTAGCCAATAGCCAGTGTTGGAAAACGTAAGTTCGTTTAAGTGACACTCTACACGATGCAATTAGGTAGACACACCTATTGCATGATGGCAGTTACTTAGTTTTTTTAATAATAACCTTTATTTGATCCAAAAAAATTGGTTTTAAAATTTAAAAAATATTTCACAGATCTTAGAATAACGCTACAAAATAGTATTGAAAGTATAAAAAACTTAAAGTTTGTAGGTCGTGAAACGCATTATCGGTTATTTAAAATAGTTTTATTAATAGCAAGAAACAGTCCACTGTATGGTAAAAAAATATTATTTGGTAAAATTTCACAGAACCAGACATTTATAAAATTTCCTTAAGACAAATTATACCTTATAGGCAAATGTGACTAATGGAGAAAATAATATATGAATTTTCATTTTAAAATTTTGGCTAGGGAAACTCTGGCTGTGATATTTGTACTGCAGTAACATACATTAATTGTAAGCTTAGGATCCATAATATGGGCACTATCGAATATTGATAAACCTTTTAATAATAATATTTTAAATTAAAAAATGTTATTTAAAAAATACTGAATAAATAAATCTTAATATATTTGCTTATTTTTAAATATACTTCTACTTATATTATAAATGTAAATTTTTGGAATTAAGCAAGACTGGTATTTAAATTTTTAAAATCATACGCTTTTAGCATCATGCACGCTTGACCGTGTACAACCGCCATCAGCTGTCATTCAGCCCGTTGGCGCTTCGCAACACTGCAGTTCGTCATAATATTGTTCCACTTACAATTGCTCAATTAAGCGACCGAAGCAACAGAAACACACAGAAATCGGACGAAATGCGACCATTCCAGCAACAATAAATAGCCAACGAGTGTGGAGTCATCGCAGGGCGACCAAAATGAAACATCTGCCGAAAACGGTCGTCGAGCGAAGGTAGAAAACAAACATTGACATAACACGTCAACGATTGGGAGCAGGCAAACCACCAAGGGGAAACCATACGGCGCGGGACTTTAGCCGCAGAGCATGTGTTATGGCCACGACAAGGTCCGCCGGAGATGCCGCCACGTCCGTTAGTTCGGCATTGGGATTGGGATCGGGATCGGGAAATCCCGGGCTCCGGAAGCTGTCCACGGCCAGTGGCGGTGGAGGAACGGCGCCCAGCTGGCAAAGCTGCTACTACTGCACCAGGGAGCATTTTAAGACCATCAGCGACTTTGTCAAGTGAGTGCCGTCTGCGAATCCCATCAGCATTATTCCATTTCTAGGCTGATTTGGCCAGGTTTTTATCTTACCCACATATGTACAAGTGTATGTGTTCAAGTGATAAATATTCAGGTAAAATTAAACAGGCAGCAGTTACAACCAATTTTCTTTTTAAAACTGCAGTCGACATCCATAAATCAAAGCCTTTTTTCTGGACTGTCTGAAATATATCTTCTAACCCAATTTTAACAGAATATAAACTACTCATTTATTAAGACAAACCAACAAGTGATCTTTTTTATCTTTTCCAAGTACGTATGTACGAGTTCAAGTGATAAATATTCAGGTAAAATTAAACAGGCAGCCGTTACAACCAATTTGCTTTTTATAACTGCAGTCGAACATCCATAAATCAAAGCCTTTATTTCGACTGTCTGAAATATATCTTCTAACAGAATATAACCTAATCAATTAGCAAGACAAACCAACAAGTGATCTTTTTTATCTTTTCCAAGTACGTATGAACGAGTTCAAGTGATAAATAAATCAGGTAAAATTAAACAGGCAGCAGGTACAAGCAATTAACTTTGTATGACTACAGTCGAGCATCCATAAACTTGAAGTCTTTATCTGTTCTGTCTCAGATGAATTTTCTGAATTTGTTCAGAAGGTAAAATAACGTTCAGTAAAATCAATGTCAAATTATAATAACAATTTTAAGATCAACGATCCGAAAGTTATTGAAGAACCCAAACTTTCCTAGAAAGCCTCGTAAAGGTACAATATCTATTAATTCTATAACATTAATTTGAATAATAAACTTTAATAATCAATAAATCGAAAATATTAATTTAATAAACTTTAATAAATTTGCTTACGTTTAATCATTTTGTAACATACTTTAGCGGAATGAACAAGTTCGATTTGTATTTAAATAACCAATAAATTAGGGAAAAACATAAATTGACCAATAAAATAAGTAATTAAAGGTAGCAACAGGGAAAGTACGTAGAATTGATAACAATTAAAACCAATTTGTTTGTTACCCATTTCAGTCACCTACGAAATCGCCACTGCACCCGGGAGGGCGGCTCCTTCGTCTGTCGCTATGGCTTCAACGGAGTATGTGCCTCTCTGCCACTGGACGGAGTCTCGGATCGCGACTATGACGCCCATGTGGCCAAGTACCATGTCAACCAGCACACGCGCGAGATGCCTCCCGAATGGGGAGTCTACTCGGCCGCCCAGAACCTGCCAGCCGTGCTCAACGATCCCTCGCGCGGCAAGCAGAGCAATCTCTTCACCAAGAAATGGGGCGAGCATTTTGTGGAGCGGAGTCATGTGCCGCCATCTCCCCGTTTGCCGGATATAACGCATGCCGACTTTGCCGTGTATTTGGGGAGCATTGGGAAGCGATATCGGTGGCATGAGCGCCGCCAGCAGCAACTGGAGCGAGACAAACCGCTGGAGAATGGAGCACAAGGGGCAACTGGACCGCAGACACCCAGCCACTTGAGTGCGGTGCCCGAGATCTTTCTGAAATCGCAGCTACAGCTGCATCATCCGGCCACCTTCAAGCAAGTGTTTCCCAATTACATGCAAACAACGGCTTCCAGTCCGGATGCACACCAGCAGACAGGCCGCCAGCTGCAGGAACAGCTGAGTCTCTACCTGGACATGGTGGAGGTGAAGATAGCGCAGCAGGTCTCACAGAAATCGGCTGCCTTCTTTCACGCCATGACCACGCAGCATGCCATTCTGGCCGAAATGGAACAGGCGGCGGACCAAGTGCGTCAGTTGCGGTCAGCACTGGCGCAACTCCACAGCCACTCGGTTGTGGACAGCTTTAGGGTGCTGCGTTTTGCCCAACGACGACAGCACTACAACCTCACGCTGGACAAACTCCGACTGATGGCCACCGTGCACAAGACCCAGCCGATGCTGCAACTTCTCCTGGGCACCCAGGATTATGTGGCTGCACTGGACTTGATAGGAACCACCCAGGAAATCCTTTCGGCCGAATTACTCGGCATTCACTGTTTCAAGCACCTGCCCATGCAGCTAAGCGAAATGGAGAAGCTAATCGATAAGATGCTCACCACAGAATTCGAACGCTATGCTGCCGCGGATCTCAATCGACCACTGTCGGATGTCCCCGGAGGGGAAACGGATAGCGTTTGCGCCGAGGAGGACAAACTGGTGGCCATTGTGATGGGTCTGCTGCGCAAGCAGAACTTCTCCTTCGTCCAGTGCTACCAGCAAGAGGCCATTGCCACCATACGGGCTATCATCAAACAGCTGCTGATCGAGGTGTTGGCGCGCAGTGACAGCGATCAGGAGATCAGTTTGACGGGTCACGGGGAGCAGGCCCTGGAGCTCACCCTGCCGGAATGGATTGCCCTGCTGCTGCGATCCAGTCAGGCTCTCGTTTCCATTCTCGAACGCATCAAAACCGTTGTGGGTATTATGCAACAAACAGCGGACGCTGCTGTGGGTGCCCAGGATGCAGTGAATCTGATCGATTCGGAAGCTTTTCTGAGTCCCGGACACCATGAGCAATTGCATTGCCAGTTGCAGCAGCTCCTGCAAGCCGTCTGCCATTACTGCCATGAGCGTTGTGCCAATATTGTGTCCCCTCAGAGCCTCGAAAAGAGTTCGGCGAGTGAGCCGGAGCTCTGCCAGCTCTCGGAGATTGTGGATCAGTTTGGCGAGACAACGCGCAGCATATGCGGAGTGGCCAGTGTGCCTCTCCAGCTGGCTTTGAAAGTCCAAGCCTCGCGTTACGCCCAAAGGTTCCATTCTGAACGGAAGCAAAAGTTGTCGCTGCTTTTGGACCAGGAGCGCTGGCGTCAGGTGGACATTCCGCACGAGTTTCAGAGGATCATCGAGCGCATGGCCGCTGGGGACTACGCCAAGCCAGAGATCTCAGGTAATCTCATAAGCAATGGCGCCGGCAATCCCGTGCTCCTGGTGGAAGGCAAACAGCCATACACTTTGGTCAGTGCTTCGCTCATGCTTATCCGTATGTTGTACGAATATGGAGGTAGTGCCCATCGGCTGCCATTGCTGGCCAGCTATCATGCGAGGAATGTGGTTGATCTGCTGCGATGTTTCAACTCACGAAGCTGCCAACTGATCATCGGAGCCGGAGCAATGCGAGTGGCTGGGCTAAAGACCATTACAAGCACCAATTTGGCGCTAGTTTCACGAGCACTGCAACTGGTTCTTTGGCTGCTGCCTAAACTGAAGGAGCACTTCCAGGCGATGAGTGGATACGAGGCCATCGAACGCGACTACCAGGGTCACATCAAGGAGATCGAAAACAAAATCCATGGCATAGTGTCGGAGAGGCTGGCAGCCCAACTGGACGCCTGGGAGGCACGACCGCCCATTCCTTCACAGACTTTCCGCCACATCTCCAGGCATCTGGTGAAACTGCACGAGGCAATCGCCGGAGTGCTGCCGGAGGCACAGATCCACGAGATCTATGGCGTAGTGCATCGAAACTTCAAGGACAAGCTGCGGGAACAGTTGCTCAAGTTGAATGTGAACAACAATGGGGGTCCGCAGCATGGTGTGGTCACATCGGAGCTGACCTTCTACATGGAGACGCTGCGCACACTGAAAGCCCTGCCCGCCGAGCAGCTGGACAACGGGATTCTGGAGGAGATCTGGCTCTACTGAGCATTCCCGAGTATTCCAATCTGGCCGAAGCGGTGCTCCTTCGCCGCCTCCCAGCCAAGTTCCTTGTCTTCATTGTTTGTTATCCTTGTTTTATTTTGTAGAATTTCAATTTTCGCGTCCATTCGGTCTGTGTTTTGTTGGCTCCACTGTACATTGCTTGTACTTTTATGTTCCGCCCCATAGAAACGAAAATCGAAAATGTGTTTCTTTGTTGCGCACTTTTTATAACACTTAAGCGTAAAGTCAACGGAAAGGCTTATGATAAAAGAATAGTTAATAAACAAAACATATTAAATGCGTTTCAATCAAAGGCGGTGGAATACGTTAAATAGTGGTTGTGATACAAAAGAAATATTTGAATTTTCAGTGCTTAAGTTTTTGAAATATTCGATTAGAGGTATTTTGTGATAAAAATTTGTTTACTATTATTCGTATTTTAATTTAAATGCCTATTTGCAAATTAACTTAAATAATAATAGCTGCAAGTTTTCTCTTCTCTCAAAAAGTTGCTAATTTTTATAAAAACTAAATTTTAAAATAGACACTCACTCTAAATGTAACGGTTTCTTTGCTATCCATAGGCATTGGCGTTGCCAGACTGTCTCAGTCGTCAATGGCAACCGTTAAAAATGACAAACACAACGCATTAGTTTAATTTTTTTCACTTTCTGTGCAATGCGCTTGCCGCAGATTTTTCACAGCCTGCACAAGCGTCTTCAAAAAATGTTTGAGAAAAGTAACGAGGGTGGCGAAAGTGCCACGCCCAGCATTCAGGACATTGCCGGTCGGCTGGCGGAGGAGCAACAGCGGCTCCGTCAACTGGAGGCCACCACGATGCCCAAGGAACGAACCCTTCTTTTCCTGGGCAGCAAATGTGTGGTGAGCAATCAAGAAGTTGATTAAATCAATTTTATATAGAGATCTCAATGATACCTGTCAAAAATTAAAGTAGCTGTGTAGTATCTCTACAGTTAGGTATTTTTTAGACTATTTAAAGTCGAAATTGTGTTTTTTATAATAGCTTAACTTGTATGTATAAATGTCTGTAATGGTAAATACTAGGTAAAAATTATATAACTTTATTGTTTTTAAATATTTTTACGTAGAAGTTTCACTTTATTAGCTTCAATTACTGACACGATATGTTAGCACGATAGATTTCTATAATGAAACTACCCATAAAAACCAAAATTTATTTCCTAAAGAAAAGAAAAAATCGTTTAGCTTTAAAAAAAAAAACCGTTGAGAGAAATCCCTACCCATAAAAAGCAAACAAGAAAAATATTTACAAAATTCTAGGACTTCAAATGATAATTTATTCTTATTAAAAAAACGTTATTTTGGGTGTTTTTAGTTTAAAAAACCTTCTTTTGGGTGAATTATATTTGTATCCAATGTTTCCTCCTTTCAGGGTAAGACGACGGCTATCAATAAGTTTTTCGATCGCGAGGAACACGCAACGCGTCCAACTCTTGCACTGGAATATAGTTTTGGTCGGCGAATTGGGAGTGGCAAGTCGCCTCAAGTGATGAATGTCTGGGAACTGGGATCCCTGGACAATGCCGAGCAATTGCTGGAGGTTCCCATGAGGACACATGGTCTGCAGCAACTAGCCGTCTTTATAATGCTGGATCTGTCGCAGCCACAGCGATTTTGGACTGACTTGGAGTGTGCCTACAAGGGATTGAGAGATACGGCGCAACAATTGATGCAGAACTCTACAGCGGATCTCAGAGAAATCCTTGAACAACGAGCCATGGAGCGAGTGGGTCAACATAACCAGGAGGATCTGGGAAACCTCGAACCGTTGCCCTTTCCAGTGGTAATTGTTGGTGGGAAGTACGATGTATTTGCTGGTCTTGATCCAACTATCAGAAAACACACCTGTCGCTGCCTGCGATCCATGGCCCATCTCATTGGTGGCGCCTTGCTGTTCTACTCCCAGCGGATGCCCAAACTGGCCAAGGTCCTAAGAGACACCATCAGCCACCTGGGTTTCGGCAGTCCAGCCCATCCATTCCGCTCCCATGTGACGGATTTCAATGAACCACTTTGCATTTGGTTCGGAACGGACAGTTGGTCGAAAATTGGAGAAACAGGAGCTCCAAGTGTGGAGCACATTGGAGCCACCTTCGGGGTGGAAGTGCCACAGCTGCAGTTGGAGAAACAGCAGCTACAGGAAACCCCAGATCCGTCCAAGGATCCCGGCTTCAAGGAGTCCCTCATCGATGAGATGCGTTCGCAAAAGAACGAGGAACTCGCTGGTATAATGAGGGACGTTCTTCTCCGCGGAAAGTTTGAGAGTATTAAAAATTAAGAAAATAATGGGATAAATATTGTGTACCTCAAAGTATTAAATAATATGAAAAATAAAACTAAAAGCAGTCATTGTTGAAGCAATATAAAACTGTGTCTTACAAGCATTGTGTAAATTGTCATTGGTAAAATTCAAGACCTTTTCAAATAGCTTTGTTGTCAGTTTCCAAAAATGTCGCAACCGGTCGCATCCAAGGCTCGTGTTATCAAGATCCTGAATCGCATTGGAGCCCATGGAATTTTAACCGAAGTACGGGTGCAGCTGGTGGATCAGCCCAGGATGCAATTTATGCGCACTGTCAAGGAACCCGTGCGTCTGGGAGATATAGTCGATTTTGAGGATACCGAATTGACATGGCAGTCCTCGAGCAGCAGCAACAGCAACTTTGGAGATAACAAACTATAACAAGTTATGAATAATTAATAACTTATTTGCTGTGCCTTGACTTAAATAAAGTATAATACAGGGGGAAATTTAATTTGCCCTATAGGTTATCCTGGCGAGCTTAATAAATTATATGTTGTGAATCAAAATAACAACTATAACTTTGATAAATAAAAATGTTTTAGTTATTAACCTAATAATTGAATTTTTATATTTTCTATCAATTACACAATACTGGCAACGCCAATCCAGGGTTGTAACAAAACGTCTTTGCCAGTCACAAGTTGCCTTTGAATCTACCGTTATAAAAAGCGAGACACAACTCTCAGCTGAGCGCAAAACGCACCCCACAGGCCTATATCGCTCTCGCTCGCTCTTTGGGGGAGCTCGAGCTCCACACGACGTCGACTGCGCTGCCGACGTTTCGGTTGGGATTCGGTTGGGATTCGCTTGGCGTTTCAGTTGGGTTTTCAGTTGGATTTCCAGCTCAGGTCGCATTGAACGGCTCTCGCGTGGCGGAGCTCTCTCTCTACATCGCGTTCGTGTGTGTGCGTGCACGCGCGGTTGTGTGTGGTGTGGGCCATTTGTTTGGTGCGAATTATTTGGCAAAAACTCCGGTGCGCGAATTGTACGGAAATTATGAATAGCTGAACCAACAGAAACATGAGAAGTGACGCGGCCCTGAAACATTGTAATTAAAACCAGCTCGATACGAGGCCCATGCCCCAATAAAGTCTCCAACTTCGCGAACGTAAAGTTTCTCGGCGTTGTGTAATCAGTCCGAAACGGAGTTTCTCGCTTTGTTTGTTTTTCTCGGCTTTATTTTCGGCACCAGCAAGAGTATTTTTAAATTGCTTTAAGCTTGCGTAGATTTGTGGAAAAAGCTCCCCCCCCAGAAACTTCAAAACCTGACAAATAAATCAACACAGGTGAGTTGTAATAATACATTTCTCAGGCAAATATACACATATAACACACGAGAGCCGAGCAAAATTACTCTGCTCCAATTTTTCGTGCTCCACAACTTTTTTTTTCGTTGGTCACAACAAAAACAACTAGCAAACCCCAAAACACCAAATTATCGATTTTCTTTTGGGCTCCTTCGTTTCTGGCGCTCTTTTTATATTGTACTTTCCTGCGATTTTATTTCTCCACGTGAGCGTGTGCAAATGTGCGTGTTTCTGTTGTAAACGTGTGTGTGTGTGTGTGTATTTAATCAAGAACAGAAACAGTTTTCCTGCAGCTTACCGTTAGCCGCATTTGCATTTTGTCACATTGCCAAGGCAACGCGACCCAAACGCCATATGGTCGCGATCTGTTACCCTATACCGATTTACTCGGGGCATAACCGCATTCCCGTGGTCTTTGCGACTTACTTAACAAAGCTTTTTTACTGCTAAGATTCTGTTACTTATGTGCGAGAAAATCTCTGAAGATTGAATATGTATATAAAAACGGCAATTAGCGATAAAAAAATCCGCATAACTCAGGTTTTCACCGGTTATGATGGTAATACATTCTGATTGCTCTTAAGTTGATTTTAAGTACTCCAGTTGTAATATCTTTTGCGAATTTTCCGATATCTGGTCGTTTCTTTGGCAGCTTTACTTGAGCACAAAGACACTATGGCAACATTATAAAACGCTTTGCAAGGGCCATAAACAAATATCTTTTGAAAAAAGTTAAATTTATAACAAAATTTAAGATGTAAAAAGATACAGAAGAATTTTTAAAAGGATTTTATTTAATAAGGGTGACCTTTTCTACAAACAAAACCCACGCTCTAAAAAAAACCTATACTGATGTTCCTTAAAAAGTTAACTTTTTCTATTTTTAAAACATCTGTTTTTTCCCTTATTCTTGTGCCTTTGAGCTAATAACTTTTGAATTAGAGACGAGGCTACTTTTTTTTTTTTTAATTTTACCTAACATGAGCAGGCTATTTTCTTTCATAAAAGATTTATGATTAAATTCATTTGCATTTTGAATAACGCAAATCGTTAGGGTATTCAATTGCTGCCATTTAATTTTGGTGTTTTGGTTTCGTATTTCCTTTTTTTTTGTTTTATTTTTGTATACGCTGGACTTGCGACGCTTGCATTATTGGAAATTCTTCGCTGGCAGCCTGTTTATTGTTGTTGTTTTATTTGGTGTTTTCATAACTGGCACGCTTTTCGGTTTCCTCGTTCTTTATTACATCCTTTGACCCCAATCGCAGTTTTGCTTTGTTTTGATCGCCAAAACAAACAAATAAGTGTATTGGATGTGAACACAAATATTTATCTTATCGCATTAGACTCGTTTGTTAATAAATTATTAAAGTTATGACTTCAAAAACTCGAGTTTACTTGCCTTACTTGGATATGCCTACGCTTAGAATTTGAATTCAAAGAATACGTCTATTAATTGCCCCGTAGCTCTTTTTTATTTCGGCTTGAAAAGAACAAAGCAAACAAAATGCTTGAACATTTAACATTTTTTTTTCACCTCAGCCCACGGTTTTGACCTGAGGGCGTGGAAACCAAAACGTATATATGTACGTAACTTAGTCGCTTGCCTGTATTCGTGTGTGATGATTAATCATAATAATTTGTATTAAGACCCCTTAAACCATGCTGTCGGCACTGGCGGTTGGTAACAGTAAAGCTCCTTTGACTCACTCAGTAACTTGGCTATGTTCATTTTGGCATTGGTTACTTTCGAAAAGCCTTTCGGAAAATACAACGACCTTACTTCATATAAATATACATATACATATTCATAAATACAGAAAAAGCATGGCCAATGACTTGCACTCGAAAATGTTAATTGAACCATGAAAGAGCGTGTAAATTAGAACTTTGCACATACATACACACGAAAAAAGACGATAAAAAGAAATCTGTTAATTAAAGCTCCGAAAAACTTGAATTTTAAACAAAAAGATATAATAAACAGAGAATGACAAATGGCCCCCCAAAAAAAAGTGTGAGGAGAAGATCAAGCAATCAAGTTTATGGAGCAGCCAAATATGAAATAACAAGTGGGGGTGCGATCAGTTCACAGCGCAATCAACATTTATTATTAAATGTCAAATATAATTTAAGATGGCAATTAGTCGCGAAACGAATTATTTCCCCTTTGACTGCCTGGCAACTGAGATGCGATTGCGGTTGGGAAGGGTACGAAGCGGAAAACATCCACAATGAGAAAGATACAATTTGCATAAAGGTTTATCTTATGATTTCAATTGAGGCAGTGGGAAGATAAGTGAATTTTTAGAGGGTATATAAAAGTGAAATGATCATTAATAGCTATTATGAAAGCAAAGCAAACTAATACACATTTAAAATAACATGTCTAAATAGAAGAAAATGGAAATATTGTTATCAAATCTAATAAAATGAGACCCGTAATGATTGTTATACAACATTTAATCTATATTGTAAGTGATACGGTTATCAAACGTATAAATTACCTTAGGGGCGGACAATAACTTACTAGTATGCTGATATTCAGAAATATCCGGCTAACTGGTCGCTTTATTTCTTAAACGATACATAATTATAGTTCGCATATTATTTTTAAATTAACTATAAATTTCAATTTAATTATTTATTAATGGCGGTCGTTTCTGGCTTTGGACACCGACTACATAATAATTTATACGCATTAACATATTTATTTGCTTAAAAATCCACAGAATAAAAACAGTATTTCATTTAACAAGTGTGGATATATATATATAGTTGATTGCCATTCAGAAAAGAGACAAGTATAATTGGACTACTGCAGAAGGAATCTCATTAAGAATCCAATGAGACTCCAACAGGTAGTCGCCTTCCGGGTAGGAAAGTGTTTTCGTGAGGTGGTAATTCATGGACTCCGTGGAAAGTTTGTCAACTATAATATCATGCTAAAAACATAATTCAATCATTGTAAAAATTTACTGTTGCAACAATTTGTTTGTTACATACATCATATGGACAGGAATGGTTTAAGTTCGAGACTCCCTTAACAAAATCGTAGAAGTACTTGGCGACAGGGTTGGACTTTTGATGTTTGAAAAAATAACATGCATCTACCGTTTTATTGTATAGAAAGGGCTTATATCCATTTAACCGTTTGTATAGTCCAAAATTAACCTGAAATGTTGATATTCATTGCGTTAAGTTTCAACAAATTGTAAATACTTTTACCTTGGCTTTTGTAATTGGAATTTTATACAGATTAACTTTTCCAGAGACGTATTTGTAGGTACGGTTAATCGACTTTAAAGTGCAATATTCAAATTCCAAAATGTCCTTATGCATGGTCTTACACTTCAAATTAGTAAACTCCACCCGAGAAATAATCTTTATTTTAAAAGCTTTAAAAAAATTATGGGACATTATGTTTTTTTTACACTGACCTCTTTTATTATTAACGACAGCACAAGTAAATGGAATACTGGCTTTGCGTACATCTTTGTGTTTCGACGGACCCGGGAAAACTGAAATCAATTAACTTATATTCATTATTTAATATTATTTTTGAAATTTTGAAATAATTATTGGTTGAGGAGATTATCACTTTCAACGACTGCCCACATGTTGTAATCGACTTATAATAATAACAATAATGGGACCCAAATTATTGAGAGTATTTAGCATTAGATTCTACAAAATTGTAAACAAACCTTATAATGGAGTTTTTTTTTAGCTTTGTGTCAAACAATCTGAAGTTGACTTTAATTTTTTTTTTACAATTTCTTTTTATAAAATTTTATACTTTAATTTACTTTTACACAGACATTTAATACACCATATACATTCAATAACACTTCTATGAAAACCGAGTTGAAACACTTAAGAATTAGAATTAAGGAAAAACTTGGGGAATGTAGTTTTCTCTTGGTTCGGTATTTGATTAATTATTGCCAAAGAATAAATCATATAGTGGGTGACCGAATGGCACGCTTGTGCCTCCTAAGCCGCGACTGTTTGTCTACAAATTTATCAAGATTTCGTCGACGTGGCTGCCATTGGAAGCACAAGCAAACAGCTAGACAGACAGACAGGAACAAGCTTCTTTGTCATGCGGCATGCTCGTAAATCTAATGGCATCTGCGATGCACAAAGATACATTTGCAGTGCGCGCATTATGTGCATAAATATTGCAGATGCGTCTTCGCACCACTAAGAAATGCCATCTGTCATTGGAAATGCAGAAAGACGCGATGGCATGATGGCAAATGTCAGCCAACGATAATGTTGCATAATCGATATGCAAATCTTGGCTTGTTAGCCCGCCGAAGTATCAAACTAACCAAGTAATACGTTGTTGAAATACGATAAGACCCTTAAGTTTATAAAATAAGTATAATTTATTAGTTTATTTTGTAATAAATCAATATTAACATTTTTTAGTTTAATTGGCATAGTTATTAAATATAATGAAAATAAAAATATTCAGCGGCCCAATCATTTCGGCTAACCTTTCATAATATTTAAAAACGATTTAACTCTATTAACCCTTAAAAAATTGGTTGCCCGCATAGTTTTACATGTAAACTGCAATAGCAAAACCAGGTGAGATTTAATATAACTTTAAACTTCTCAAAAACACATAAAATAGCGGAATAATACCCACCGTTTTACCCCAAAACTTTTCAAATGTACGATTGCATCAACTTTTAAAAGCGGAAACTTAAAGTTAGCTTTACATTAATTAACTTCTCCCCGAGCATGACCGGACTGACCCTTCCTTAACCATGTTCAGAGTACAGAACAGAATAAAATCAGTGCCCTGTCCCAGTGAAAAGGTAACCCAGTTGCATGGAGCATGGAGCACAATGAACTGCAATCCCCGCGAGCGAAGGAAATGGGTTGAAAAGGGAAGGGAAGGGAAGGGACTGCAGTCGCAGCTCACTGAAGCATCAAACGACCAGAAGGTGACTTAAAGCTGCTATCCGGAGCCTTGAATCAACAACTTCCGATACCACTCCATTCCGTACCGCAATTGCATTCTGTGTGCGTGCCGAGTACGAGTACGAGAACGTGTACGAGTACAAGTACGAGTGCGAGTATCTGGCAGATACGTTCTGGCAGTGCTCCATGGTCATAAATGAGCAACCAAGCACGACAGCAGCGCGGCATCGACTGACATCCCACTTAGAGACTGGATGTGGCTCCACCCGTAAATCGCGTCCATAGCGCTCCTCTCCTCCCTTAAAAATATCACCCACGAACACCGCCCAGCCAGCGTTGGTTGACAAACGCAAAGTGTGCATAACTTTTAGTAGAGCATGAAAAATTAACTTTAATTCGATTGTAGGCAGTTCCCAGATGGCTCTTCGTTCATTACATCCACCGGTGACTGGGAGTACTGGGTGCAGTTTCGTTCTTCAGCCAATTAATGTGTGATAATTAAATTGTGATATCAGCTGAACAATTTACCAATTAATGCTGCAAAGGGTGGCTGATGATGATGGGCTTGAAGAACTCGTGGGTTGTAGGTGGGGATGTGCCAGATAACTGGAGTAAAAACAGTTAAGAAGTTTACTTTGCAGAGGGTCTTCTTCGTTTTACAACATTTAGAAAGTCTACCAGTATTTTATTTAAATATAAAATTTTGTTTGTACAATTTTATCATAGAAAATGTTATATCATAAACTAATTTATTGAAATACTTTTTATATTTTTAAAGTGTTGTGGTAAGGATCTCTCCTTTAGTTAGTTATACGAATTTTGTACCATTTTACCGGGTTACTTTGTACCTGACCTAAGTCAAAACAATTTTCTTTGTTCCCACGACCTTCTCCCTCTCTAAAAGTAACTCGAACTCAAATAGCTATCCTATTTTCCCACTACTCTAGTTCATGATCCAGCTAATGAGCAATTTAGCAGGAGCGCTCACATCCTCGAGACACAATTCCTTCGCTCCAAAAAGGGCAGCGATGCGTTAAGGCAACTGTCTGGCGGGCGAAGGATAATGCCACAGACACTTGAGCCAGGATGTGCTTAGGTCAAAAGCCAGTTCATGCGGAGAAAATGTTCCCAGCCTATAAAATTTGCATGTTTTGCACAATTGTTAGCAACCCCCGGCGCCCAATCAGGGGGATTACATTTTTGGTGGTGACTGCCTTATGCCTTATGAGCAATTAATATGTCAGTTAGCGGCTTTGGCCAGATTGATGGGGTTGTTGCCTCGGACCGAGCCGAAAACGAAAGCAAACCAGAGAAATTAGATGGGGAACTGTCACTGCCAGGCACCAATTGCCAGTAACTTGGAAAGTTTTCCTTCATTTTCCTCAACGGCTCGTGCTCGGCACGTTTTTGCATGATTTCCGGCGCACCCTCGCGGATTTTCCCTGCCGGACTGCCGGGGTTAACAAGGACACTCCCTGGCATTTGTGGGCCGCACCGAGCGTGCGGCACATTATCCTTAAGCGTCGCCGCGGCAGGCGTTTGTCTTTATGTTTCAGCTACAAGTGTAAATGCTGAGAACAGCTTTTTCTCTGGCCCGGTTGTTTCTCTGGAGAAAGAGAAAAGGAGAAAAGGACTTGAAACTGGGTTGAGCAATGGCCGTGGCGCGTGTTCTGCCCACAGTTCCCGTGGGAATAACCAAGAATCTCATATCGTGGGCGTGCGAACAAATTTGTGGCATGACTCCTTAAGCTGGTGAAAATGTCAACCGTTCCTTACAGGGTTGATTTGCTTTAATCTGAAGGTATTTTCCGATTGTGAATTGCAATTTATTACAATAGAGACTTGCTTTGAAACCTTACTGTTTTAAGTCCCTACCTTTTTTTCACCACCTCATACAGTGTCCGAAAGTATGCACTAAAAAATTATCTTATCACTTAAAATTACAACAGACTTCTAGATTTTTGTATATATGTTTCTTACTTTTATATACCTTTTTAGCCAGTTGCAAACTAGTTGATTTCTGTGGCACACCCATTTAATTGTTTTTTTTCCAATATTCTCAGTTTTTAGGCCTAAATACCAAATGATTTAACAATAAACATTAAAATTACCAGAAAATCTCGTTCCTGATTTCCCCCTTTTAAAATAATTTCGCCCCAGGAATAAGAAAAATTTTCTCAACTTTATCCATGAAATCGATTTCAATCAATTTCACCTTACTCGTTACCTCCAGTCCTTGTGGCAAATTAGACTTCTCGGTCGAACCACAAGTTTTTCATTTCACGATAACCAATTCCAAAGATGAGAGGAAGCAAATTTAAAAGCAAACACCCACATACTATGTGGGTGCATGAAAGCATTATATGCTCCAGTCCAATCAACCCACAGGCAATAAGAAAAAATATAGAATTTCAGCAGAGAAAAACATTAATGGACATCCGGCTTTTATTATGCTTAGTCTTCTTGTTATTGTTTTCCACCTCGAAGGTGTGTGCTGATGACGAAGAGGAAGAAGCACCTCAAGTGCAATTGAAAAAGCTGAAACCACAACAACAACAACAACAGTAACAACAACGACAATAATAAAAGCAATAACCACAACAAAAGCAACTACGAAAGTACACGATGTTGATATTTGCGTTGGCAAATGGAAACGTCTTTGGCAGATGGAAAAACGAGAGGTAAACTCCAGAAGAAGACAGTAGATATGGCTTTAAGAATATATAGGATGGGGATACGGGGAGAGTGTGTCGAGCACTCTGCCTCATTAAGTGTCTGACGGCCTTTGGTTTATGGTCTCCGAACGACTAGATGGAGGATTAGCAGTTGCACAACTACACTATGTTGGTGTGTGGGGGTGCTGGCACTTTTGTGGGGGTGTCGATTTTGGCGTGGTCTTAAACAAGTTTAGGCGCCTTTGCGGCCATCATTAATCTTGTGGCATGCCCCAGCAGAACGGCGACCACGAAAACCTAGAACACCAATCAACTGAGCCACGCCTTAAGGTATCATTTCCTTTATTGATTCACGTGAGGGGGCTCGAAATTTACCACCATCCGTTTTACAACTGTCGAGTGTTAATCTAGCGAATACATGTTTCCTTCTTCAGCCGGATCAAGTGATAAGCTAATTATTTTTATTTTCAATTAAACAACATCGCCAATGCGGTTCAGGATATGTAATGAAACACTTAAAGAACAATTTAGTATAATAGGAACTCAGGTTATATAAAAAATACATAACTATTTATTTTTTGATATTAACAAAAATCTGTTTGCTTAAATTTGATCTTAATAATCTTAATTATTACTTTGTTCTGAATGCGCTCTTTAAAATGTCAGTATTTAAAAATTACTACTTTTATCTTTCAATTTTTAGATCATCATATCAATATTTAAAAAATTTGTTTGTTAAACGTTAAAACATTTAATATTGGGGAGCAAAAAAATGATTTTTTAATAGATATTTTTCAAATACAACACAGATCCCATAGACCTATGAAGTAAAAATCTTTTATAATGATAATTCTCAATCTTGTTTTAAACATATAAAAATGTAAAGT